CAAGTCATCGTATCCTAACTTCGTAGATCGATGCTATTTCTGTTGATCACCGGATTGTCTTGTCCAAACTCGAATATTTACAGACCGCCACCACATAGCTGGAATATTGCTGAGTGCGGCGTTAAACAACAAACCAACCAACAATCACTCGCCAAACAGACCGTTAACCAAAACAAGAAAATCAGCTGTACATTGGAAAAGTAGGTTATGAATTATTTTCATTGAATATTTAATATGATTCTCATAAACTCTTCTCTTTCAGTAATATATTATTCACACCCTGCCAATTTGGTAGAGAGCGCTATCGGCGTGTGAAATCGCCCTGGCCGTATCTCTCGTAGATTACGCTGACAAGGCAAATGGGACATTGACTCATTGATTCCACGCGAGTCTCTTGTACAGGGAATGTTATTTACTTCCAGTTGCAAACATGGCGTTAGAAAAATGGCTCATAGTTTCTGTAGTTGTTTGCATCGTACGCGGGGACTGTTACATAAGAAATACGCACCTAAAACGCATCAGAAATGGAATGTCAAACGGATCTGTGTCTTCAGCTGCATGTGGTACCGAGCTTGGCTGTTTAACAGATACTTTGACGAAGGAAGAAGGACATACATTTGTCTATGGTCATACAGTGTAACTGCCAAAAGCCTTGGCACTGATCTCTACAAGAAGACTCGATGGAAAGTGATACATGAGCATGAAGGATCTTACTCTCAGGTGAAGAATTCGGGCTAAACATGTTCGAAATAACACATGAATGTTTAGATGAAGATCTAAGTTTCAATAAGTAGGCAAATTATTGTTTTGGAAACCAAAACTCATTCTTTATAGGTTTTGTTTGTTGTTTAAAACCGCGCTCAGAAATGTTCCAGCTAGATGCTGGCGGTTTGTAAATATTCCAGCTAGATGCTGGCGGTTTGTAAATATTCCAGCTAGATGCTGGCGGTTTGTAAATATTCCAGTCAATCCAGGGGTTGACGTCATGAGCATCGACAATTGGGAGGCGAGGACATGCATCAGTCGAATCTTAAGTCGCCTCTTAGGGACAAGTAGGAGGTGAAGAAAATTAATTTTAACTCGATTTTTACGGGTCCATTATTGTCAGGTCAGTCGTCGTGTTCAGTTCGAAATAGTTTAAAACTATGAGGTCAATGTCTATTGAAACTAACCAAGCATGGTCAAGTGTTGGAAATATAAAACATATCTGTACCTAGAACACCTAAAGTTGAGGAAGGCATCGTCATCGTGTAGGAAATATAACTTTGGAACGCGGTTAAATATCTGTTAATGTCGAACCTTTGCAAAATCGAGTTCAGGAGGCCAGAAGCAAAGAATAACGTTCCCGTCAACCCAGCATAATAGGTGTGGGTGGTTCACAGTAAATAATGGTTGTCTTGTATTGCTGAACCTGTTAGAATTGGCCTTCAGTAACCGATGCTCGTCGTAAAAGGCGACTAACGGGATCAATTGGTTGACACATGTCATCGTATCCCAGTTGGGTAGATAGATGCTCATGCTGTTGGTCACTGGATTGTCTGGACTCGATTATTTACAGATTATTTCCATATAGCTGGGATATATACAGAGTTTAACAACAAACAAACAAACAAACATTTATTGCTGCCATACATGTTGCTACCGGTCATCAGTCGTAACGCATTTGCATCACTGGACCACATCCGTGGTGTAGTGGTTAGAAACGCCCGCCGGAGCGGAAGGTCGCGGGTTCGATCCTCGGCTGCGTCATACCAAAATACTTTAAAAAATATGGTACTTGTTGGTCCGTGCCTGGCGCTCGGCATTTATGGGCACGACAAGGACTGGTCGTCCTCACCGAGTCTGTATGCATGCTTAACTGCGGTGTGGTATCTCAGTGAGCTAGCACTATAAAACCAGCTTAAGTCTGGGCTAGTACAAGCAGCCACACGCATGCACGTCGCCATTTCACCTCACCTCACCCATTACACCATTGTCCACCTGATGCTATCATGGGTGTTAGGTGAGGTGAGGTGAAATGAAATTTAACGTCGTACCTGAGAATATTTCGCTCATATGACGACGTGCATGCGTGTGTATGTGTAGCTGCTTGTACTAGCCACGACTTAAGCTGGTTTTATAGTGCTAGCTCACTGAGATACCATGCCGCAGTTAAGCTTGAATACCCCATTGAGACAGAGATTATACCATACCGAGCCGACCATTAATGCCGTGTGCCAGGCAGGGACCAACTAGTACCATATTTTAACGTCTTTTGGTATGACGCGGCCGGGGATCGAACCCGCGACCTTCCGCTCTCCGGGCGGACGCTCTAACCACTACACCACGGATGCGGTCTCATTGGTGCTAACCTTGGACCTTGGATCACATGGGTGAGTGATTGTGTCAGTTATAACACCTCTTCTATCGTTATTTCCATTACATCGCGACATTGCCCACCTAAGGTGGTATTCAGGGCGACTTTATGATTGTGGCTGGATGACTTACATTTCTGTTGTAGTGGAGTATATATAATGACTCCTAAACACTTCACAAGACAAGAACTGCCATACAAACACAGAATTACACGTGGCGAGATACAAGTAAGTTGAAAAATGAAGAACAAACAACTCTCTCTCTCTGTCTCTCTCTCTCTCTCTCTCTCTCTCTCTCTATCTCTCTCTCTTTCTCTCTCTTTCTCTCTCTCACACACACACACACACGTTCATCAATGTAACCCGTTTTACAACCATGGAAAAGCATTGTCTTCTATCTTAATTCTCAGCTATACTACTATTGTCTCATGAATCATGTTCAGTAATAAATCCATTTACTTAACCGCAGGGGTCCGGGTTAGAATTGATCTTCAGCAACCCATGCTTATCATAAGAGACGACTAACGGCAACGGGGTGGTCAGACTCGCTGAAATGGTTGACACATGTCATCGTATTCCAATTGCATAGATCGGTGCTCATGATGTTTATCTCTGGATTGTCTGATCAGACTCGATTATTACAGACCGCCGCCATATAATAATAATGTCTATTTATATTGCGCTGGGCTCCATCCACAGAGGTGCATGCTCAAGGCGCTACAATAGTCACAGATGAGAAGTTCACGGGAGGAGATAGTTCATGGGGATAGAACTTTCTAAAGAGAAAGGTTTTTAGGTTGGTTTCGAATGTCTCAAAGGGTGGGGGGATTCTTTAATGTTCTGAGGTAGTGAGTTCCATAACTGAGGTGCTGCTACTTGAAACGATCTGTTGCCGTAGGATTTTAGTTTTGAGTTTGGTACTGCAAGTAGGCATTGGTTTTCAGATCTTAGACGTCGTGAAGGCTGATATGGTGAGATCAGTTCTGATAGATAACTCGGTGCTGTACCATTCAAACAGTGGTAGGCAGAACACAAGATCTTGAAGTGGATCCGGGCTTCTATTGGTAACCAGTGTAGGGACATCAATACCCGTGTTATCTGGGATCTTTTGGTGCACGACTCACAATACGAGGCTGCCCTATTTTGTACCTTCTGGAGTTTGTTCAGCAGTTCCTGACTCAAACCATACAACAGACTGTTGCTGTAGTCAATGCGGGACATCACAAGTTGTTGGACTAGTGTTTTGTTACGTCTTTGGTAATAAGATGGCGGATATTACCAATACTTCTTAGATGGAAGTAGCAGGTCTGGCACACTTGATTAACTTGGGCTTCCATTGACAAGGGAGAATCAAAGATGACACCCAGGTTCTTTGCTTTGTCGGCGAATGGTATGAAAGAGAGTCTCCCACAGCCACTGACGTGATATTCAACTGTTGGATGCGCTGTCTGGGTCCAACAGTAAAGGCCTCGGATTTTCCATCATTCAGTTTTAATCTGTTTGACATCATCCATGTTTTATTGATTTAGTGCAGTCAGTAGTTCTTGCAAGTGCATCGACTGCTTCGCTTGCTTTGAAACCTTGATATAGCTGGGTGTTCTGATATTCACGATCCTTGTGATCACAGGCAGAAGTACATCTAAATACTTCAAAAGTAACTTAGTAGGAATAGGGTCCAGCGCACATGTAGTGGGTTTTGATTTTCCAATAACCTTGACAATGTCTTCCTCAGTGACCGGTTGGAAGTGTAAATCACCTGAGATCTCCAGGCACATGGAATCTGTTGTGTCACCAGTATCACTAGCCACATTATCGGAATTCCTCTTTGATTTTGTTTATCTTGTCCGTAAAATATGGAGCTAACATGTTCATATATATTTCACTCTAATAGTATCTCTGCTGTCGTATTTGGTAGGTTGTAGCTGCTATAGGATATATCTCGGCTGGAATACTAAGGATGTAGGGAATACTCCACAAAAACAACGCAGCTCTAAAAAGGTGAGTTAAACATCATTTTCTAATATGCTTACCTGATAGCAGTGACATGTAGGCTGTAATTCTTGTTTTTAGGCAAGATCTCTATATTTGGTGCCAGGATTGTGTATTGATCGAGATTTTATGAAAATAACTGTAGTGTTTATTTTGGTCGATTCAGATCTACAAGAAAAGCATTGGTGCTTTGATTATTCTGGACTTGAAGTTTGATTATTCTTTTCACATCATTTCTCAACTGGTTTACACAATTCCTTGATTCCATGTATTAACCATTATCGGCTGTTGTGAATGTACTGGAGACTACAGAACAAGCAAACAGAAACAAATGCAATTGTGTGCTATAGATCCGACAGTTCGAAACGTCTGTGATTGGCTCCCAAATTTGTTTTGGCATTCATAAAGTACACATACATAATGTACATATACAGTGTGTTCTCGTAGATAAAGGCATCTAAAGTGACATATTAATTAGCATGCAAGATCGAAAACAGAAACATAGCAGTGGTTTTGTAAGACGAACCAGCTTTAAGTTCTTTTCAAGTTGACACAGCCGCAAGGATTGTAATAAAGAACTACCTTTTCCAATATACGAGTTGGAACTGTTATTCCGTGTATGTTAGTGCTAACCTTAACATTTCAGGAAAGGAGAAAACTGTTGCTAAAAAGGGTCCTTCCTTGTTGGTCATGGCAGCTGAAAACAAAGCTGTTTACGAGTTCCAGCTGCCAAAACAAAGCAGCGCCATCCAGATCAGTTTTCCGAAGAAGAACAAACTTGTTGCTGTCGAATTTTGCCCATTTCATAATACGCTGAAATGGGTCGGCAAAAAAAGTGTGTTTTCATCATATCTGGCGGTTAAGGCTCCGAAAAGGTTAAGGGAGGTGTCCTGGCGACGAGGTATATATTTTAAGCAGTTGTTCTGTAGGATGTCGTTTTAGATGCTTGAATTAGTCGTCACAGCTTACCAATTCCACAGACACATGTTTGTGGCATTATCGGAATCGTGGTATGGAGATTCTTTTCATAACATAAATTTATTTCTTTTATTTCTTTTTATATATATTTGAATGGCGCCAATATCCAGCTCAGCTGCTCAAAGGCGCTTTGATTTTCCCCCGAGCATTGGATGTCAAACTCACATCGTATTATCCATCTCAACTCCCTGGGGATCATACATCTCTTGCAGACATTAGGCGAACCGAGTTTATGTGGCTTTCCCATAAAATGTTTTGTAACACCTATTTGACAACAGTGAGCACGCACCCCAACCCACCAATATATATGTGGAAGCCATGTTATTTCTTAATGACCTCTCGAATGTCGCAAATGCATACGTCTGTATCAGTTGCACGTTTTAGCACGTTAGGGCCGTGAAGATCTCGGTTACAATTGACCTTCAGCAACCCATGCTTATCATAAGAGGCGACTAAAGGGATCGGGTGGTCAGGTTCGCTGACTTGGTTCACACATGTCATTGTATCCCAATTGCGTAGTTAGATGCTCATGCTGTTGATCAGTGGATTGTCTGATCCATGCCCGATTATTTACAGACCGCCACTATATCGCTGTGTTAAACAAGAAACAAGGAAACAAACGTTAACCTGTTTCAACGAATGTAAAACTGTAAAATGTTAAACAGTTCCAGAATTAAACAATTGGCATACTGTTCATTGTAATTATCGTATGATTCAAGTTCTATTCTTGGTGCCGCTGTCCACCCTACTAGCATCTGCTGACTTGGTTCCTGCCGACTTGGTTACGCCTCTTTTAGCAATATTCCAGCAATATCACGGCGTACACACATTGTACTGATGTGGGGAATCGAACCTGGGTCTTCAGCGTGACGAGCGGACGCTTTAACCATTAGGCTACCCCACCGCCAACGGCGTTAAGGAACAACCAAACAAACACTCAAGAACCGAAGTGTGACAAGTTTTTTTTAATTGATTTATTTTTTAAATTTTTAAATGTGACATTTTAATTCCCCCAATTGTCAATGTGACCAAATTCTTGCGTTTCGTTTAAGGCAAGCTCGTCACTGTAAAGTATGACAAGAAAGCAAAGCTGATTTTCTACGTGACAACAAATGGCATAAACAGGATGAAATGGAAGAGTTCTGAGAAACCTCGGATCATTGCGAACAGAATCAAGCCAATGCATGTGGAACTTGACGAAGATAAAAGGTACGTTTTATAACCAATCTGATTTTGATCCATAACCTGGTCTGCTGTCCATCAAAGGATTTAACCATAAAGTGAGTGAGTTTATGGCACTTTTAGCAATGTTCCAGCAATATCACGACGGGGACACCACAAAATGGGCTTTATACATTATACCCATGTGGGGAATCGAACCCGGGTTTTCGCGAACGCTATGGCCACTATATAGCTAGCACCGAACGCTTTAGCCTACTAGGCTACCCCACCGCCCCAGTCATCGAAAGATGTCAAATATATATATATTATCCATAAAAAGAAACGCATAGGCATTTTGTATTTTTAAAGTCCATTAATTACCTATTGAGTTCAAACAATCGTCAAAATATGTAACAAAAGTGTTCAGAACATGATTTTACACAATTTTACAAGTGAAACATCGACATGACCTGAAAATGTTGATATCTTACAAGGATTAAAAAGGAACCGCCACAACGCAACAGAAGTCACCTTCCAGTTGAAATTGTGCAGCAAAGAGCATGCACTGTCTGGCTATAAATATCCAGATTACTTTCGGAAATCGTCATTCGTTTTGAAGGGGTTTCAAGGTCAAATCACTACGCCATGTCTTGACGCTGCGACACGGAACATCGCCATTGAAAGAATCTTCTGTTGCCAGGCGTCTGAATGTTAGTCTGAGCACGATATCACGGCTTGCAGCTCGTTACAACCAAACAGGTTTAACAAATGACCGTCCCCGTACAAGCAGACCTCGAGTCACCACTTCAGCCCAAGATCGGTACTTCTGGTTACTACATTTGCGTGATCGTCCTGCCTGCTGTGAGAGCACAGCAGCCAGGGTGCCTGGACTTCGGTGGATATCCGGTCAAACTGTACGGAACAGGTTAAGAGTGATTGGACTGAGAGCCAGGAGACCCGACGTCAGGACCGTCGCCATCGCGCTCAACGTCTCCGTCAACTAAAATTATCCACTTGGTTGTATAGACATTTCCTTTTTCTAAACTGATGTAAAAAATTCATGTACTAAACTCCATTTGTGGACGAGTTGTACATGTTTGTAAATACAACATTTGCGCAACAGATTTCTGGGTTATGCGTTTCTTTTTTGGAATAGTATACTTGGTCGTTTGTCAACTAATTGCCGATACTACCCCACACAGCTAAGTTAACCTGGTAGGTTTCGTGTCGTATGATTCTCTGGGGGCGGTGGGGTAGCCTAGTGGTTAAAGCGATCGCTTGTCACGCCGAAGACTGACTGAATGACTGAGTTTGTTTTTTACGCCGCTTTTAGCAATATTCTAGCAACATCACGGCGGGGGACACCAGAAATGGGCTTCGCACATTGTACCCATGTGGGGATTCGAACCCGGGTCTTCGGCGTGACGAGCCAAAGCTTTAACCACTAGGCTACCCCACCGCCCCGTCACGCCGAAGACCCGGGTTCCATTCCCAAAATGGGTACAAGGTGTGAAGTCCATTTCTGGTGTCCCCTGCCGTGATATTGCTGAAATATTGTTAAAGGTGGCGTAAAACCAAACTCACTGACTATTGGGTTCGAATTGAAGATTCGACACAGTTATTACTCTTAAGTCGGGAATAGGTGAACCGATTGAGCTACTGTCCATTGTCACGTCCAAGAGCTCATCCAGCTTGTTTCACTTAGATACATCTACTGGTCAGAAAAAAAGAAGCCGGCTCGGTGACGTTCAGAAGAGTAGATTATGCTGGTTCCAAGGAGGAAAGGATTGCTGTACTAAAAGGAAAAGAGGTGTACAGATTTAGCATTTTTGGTAAGTGTCCATCTTTTTGTGCACTTCTAACCTACTTATAAACAGGCACACTGCTGGTTGTACGGTCATGTAAATTAACTATCTGATAAGTTAAAGCTCTGGTAAATTTATATCTATTCAATGAACGCCTATTTAAATGTATAGCTAGTTTATGGACGCCCTATTAATGTGCATCTAGTGGATGAACGCCCTGGCAAATATGGTAAATATACGACTGTTAGATGTAGATGAATGCCCATTTAAATGTGTAGCTAGTTTATGAACGCCCTGGCAAATATACTAGTGTTAGATGAACTACCTGATAAATGTACATCTATTAGATGAATGCCCATTTAAATGTACATCTAGTGGATGAACGCCCTGGCAAATATACGACTGTTAGATGAACTACCTGATAAATATACATCTATTAGATGAATGCCCATTTAAATGTACATCTAGTGGATGAACGCCCTGGCAAATATACGACTGTTAGATGAACTACCTGATAAATGTACATCTATTAGATGAATGCCCATTTAAATGTACATCTAGTGGATGAATGCCCTATACATCTAGTGGATGAACGCCCTGGCAAATAAACGACTGTTAGATGAACTACCTGATAAATGTACATCTATTAGATGAATGCCCATTTAAATATACATCTAGTGGATGAACGCCCTGGCAAATATACGACTGTAAGATGAACTTCCTGATAAATGTACATCTATTAGATGAATGCCCATTTAAATGTACATCTAGTGGATGAATGCCCTATACATCTAGTGGATGAACGCCCTGGCAAATATACGACTGTTAGATGAACTACCTGATAAATGTACATCTATTAGATGAATGCCCATTTAAATGTACATCTAGTGGATGAACGCCCTGGCAAATATACGACTGTTAGATGAACTACCTGATAAATGTACATCTATTAGATGAATGCCCATTTAGCTAGTGGATGTACATCTATACGACTGGATGAATCTATTAGATGAATGGCAACATATGAACGCCCTGGCGACGACTGTTAGATGAACTACCTGATAAATGTACATCTATTAGATGAATGCCCATTTAAATGTACATCTAGTTTATGAACGCCCTGGCAAATATACGACTGTTAGATGAACTACCTGATAAATGTACATCTATTAGATGAATGCCCATTTAAATGTACAGCTAGTGGATGAACGCCCTGGCAAATATACGACTGTTAGATGAACTACCTGATAAATGTACATCTATTAGATGAATGCCCATTTAAATGTGTATCTAGTTTATGAACGCCCTGGCAAATATACGACTGTTAGATGAACTACCTGATAAATGTACATCTATTAGATGAATGCCCATTTAAATGTGTAGCTAGTTTATGAACGCCCTGGCAAATATACGACTGTTAGATGAACTACCTGATAAATATACATCTATTAGATGAATGCCCATTTAAATGTACATCTAGTGGATGAACGCCCTGGCAAATATACGACTGTTAGATGAACTACCTGATAAATATACATCTATTAGATGAATGCCCATTTAAATGTACATCTAGCATTTGGATGAACGCCCTGGCAAATATACGACTGTTAGATGAACTACCTGATAAATATACATCTATTAGATGAATGCCCATTTAAATGTACATCTAGTGGATGAACGCCCTGGCAAATATACGACTGTTAGATGAACTACCTGATAAATATACATCTATTAGATGAATGCCCATTTAAATGTACATCTAGTGGATGAACGCCCTGGCAAATATACGACTGTTAGATGAACTACCTGATAAATAAATACATCTATTAGATGAATGCCCATTTAAATGTACATCTAGTGGATGAACGCCCTGGCAAAATATACCTGATAAATGTACATCTATTAGATGAACTGTTAGATGAACTACCTGATAAATGTACATCTATTAGATGAATGCCCATTTAAATGTACATCTAGTGGATGAACGCCCTGGCAAATATACGACTGTTAGATGAACTACCTGATAAATGTACATCTATTAGATGAATGCCCATTTAAATGTACATCTAGTGGATGAACGCCCTGGCAAATATACGACTGTTAGATGAACTACCTGATAAATATACATCTATTAGATGAATGCCCATTTTTAAATGTACTTGGCAAATATAGATCTAGTACATCTAGTGGATGAACGCCCTGGCAAAATATACGACTGTTAGATGAACTACCTGATAAAATGTACATCTATTAGATGAATGCCCATTTAAATGTACATCTAGTGGATGATGTAAATGGCAAATAGCGACTGTCGGCAGGATAAAGCCAACGGATATTTTGCATCCATTGGGGTCACTTTGTAAAATTAGAGAAATCATATGCAGATTGTAGGGACTACTTTCACAATGTAAAACAACATCGTTTCCGGATTTATGGCCTTGTTTACGGTAATGTCAGTGCTTTGATCCAAGAAAATAGGCTCGCTAAATACAAAGTTTATTCCTAGTGCAGGATATTAACCATCTGATAAAAACACACTCGCGTGATAACCTATATATCTTGTCGATGAACGTTCTGCTGATACACCCTCTGACATATGTGAGTGAGTGAGTGAGTTTGGTTTTACACCTCTTAGAGCAATATTACAGCAATATCACAGCGGTGGACACCTGAATTGGGCTTCACACATTGTACCCATGTGGGAATCGAAGTGGATGTTCGGCCCTGACGAGCGAACGCTTTAACCACTAGATGAACCACCGCCCCTAAATGTAAATAAGCGATCATACTTGACACTAGGACTAGCAGATAGAGCTTGGCAAAATAATATTGGTCAAGTTATGTATACATGCTTATTCGTTCTTAACATCTAGTGGATAAACGCCTTGGCAAATATACGACTGTTAAATGAACTACCTGATAAATATACATCTATTAGATGAATGCCCATTTAAATGTACATCTAGTGGATGAACGCCCTGGCAAATATACGACTGTTAAATGAACTACCTGATAAATATACATCTATTAGATGAATGCCCATTTAAATGTACATCTAGTGGATGAACGCCCTGGCAAATATACGACTGTTAGATGAACTACCTGATAAATATACATCTATCAGATGAATGCCCATTGAAATGTACATCTAGTGGATGAACGCCCTGGCAAATAAACGACTGTTAGATGAACTACCTGATAAATGTACATCTATTAGATGAATGCCCATTTAAATGTACATCTAGTGGATGAACGCCCTGGCAAATATACGACTGTTAGATGAACTACCTGATAAATGTACATCTATTAGATGAATGCCCATTGAAATGTATAGCTAGTTTATGAACGCCCATTTAAATCTATGGCCAGTAGATGAAACTCCCTATTAAAAGTACATTTAGTGAATGAACGCCCTGATAGATGTACTTATCATACAATGAATAGCGTTGTCGGCAGGATAAAGCCAACGGATATTTTCGGCATCCATTGGGGTCATATGCGGATAACGATGTAAATTAGAGAAATCATATGCAGATTGTAGGGACTACTTTCACAATGTAAAACAACATCGTTTCCGGATTTATGGCCTTGTTTACGGTAATGTCAGTGCTTTGATCCAAGAAAATAGGCTCGCTAAATACAAAGTTTATTCCTAGTGCAGGATATTAACCATCCCAAAACACACTCGCGTGATAACCTATATATCTTGTCGATGAACGTTCTGCTGATACACCCTCTGACATATGTGAGAGAGTGAGTGAGTGAGTGAGTTTGGTTTTGCACCTCTTAGAGCAATATTACAGCAATATCACAGCGGTGGACACCTGAATTGGGCTTCACACATTGTACCCATGTGGGGAATCGAACCCGGGTGTTCGGCGTGACGAGCGAACGCTTTAACCACTAGACTTGCCCACCGCCCCTACTGACCAAATAAGCGATCATACTTGACACTAGGACTAGCAGATAGAGCTTGGCAAAATAATATTGGTCAAGTTATGTATACATGCTTATTCGTTCTTAACATTTAGTGGATGATATTGGTCAAGTTATGTATACATGCTTATTCGTTCTTAACATCTAGTGGATAAACGCCCTGGCAAATATACGACTGTTAAATGAACTACCTGATAAATATACATCTATTAGATGAATGCCCATTGAAATGTACATCTAGTGGATGAACGCCCTGGCAAATATACGACTGTTAAATGAACTACCTGATAAATGTACATCTATAAGATGAATGCCCATTGAAATGTACATCTAGTGGATGACCGCCCTGGTAAATAGATGTTTGCATAAGCTACATACAATTTGCTGTCGGCAATCTTGGTTGATACTACATAACTACGTTACTACTGAATCGAGATGTTCTTAATTCCAATGTGTTTACTTCATCCTGATGACACGATAATAAAACAAGCAGCTAGTCATATAATGAGTGATCATCAAATATCTTTCTATGTACCTATTTAAAGTTGATTTCACATTAATTGATTTTTGCTTTTGTCGTATTGAATTTTGGGGGATTTTTTTGGTTTTTTATTTTATATTTGTTGAACGGGTGCTTGAAGAGACCTAGTCTAAATATTACCGCCCCTCTGACATATGTAAATAATGAAGATAAACGCCCTGGTTCTATTGGTACATGTAAGTTCTGGTAATTCACGCCCTGGCAAATATTGCCAAATGGAAAAATGAACATTATTCTTATTGGAAGTGGTAAATATGCCTCCGATAGATGTAGGAGTGGGCGCTTCATACAATACAACAAAGTATGTACTGTGACGTAACAACAAGAATCATAGCTTTGCGTCATTTAGTATGACGTACCAAGGAGGAGGGAACCACATACCTCCCGCTCTGTGTAGACCTCTGTCTAACAACTATTCAGTGTAGATATGGTAAGGGGCATTAATAGCTGCAAATATGATGGACATTATCATTCTAGATTAATCCTGACAACTACTTCTCCTATTTATTTGGGGACATCCCCGTCCGGCATAACCGGTTTCATTCTATTTAATGTTTTTGTTACATATGCTATATTTGGGATTACACTTTCTCAGTAAAGTACAGATTCTAGAACTTTTGTTGAGTTGAGTCCCAATTCGGGATTCGAACCCACACCCTCAGACAGGCACCTAATCGCCAGCTCACAAAGTCAGCCGCCTAACCCGCTCAGCCACCGCTGCTACATTTGACCACTTTCAAAATGGCACTTTGTATTCATGTTTTCGGTTGTTTTTTAGAGAAATATATCTATTACTGTGGGCCTACACCTCGAGCGATGCATCACGAGAAAACAATGAAAGTCATGGACCAGAAAGAGAAATGCTTTCATATCATCCGTCACAGGGCTGTCGTGTATTATGTCACACATTCATCGTAAGTGTTAAAGAACTTGTTCAGTGGAATATTAGTTAAAGAACTTGTTCAGTGGAATGTTTGTTAAAGAACTTATTCAGTGGAATGTTTGTTGAAGAACTTGTTCAGTAGAAAGTTTGTTAATGAACTTGTTCAGTGGGCAGGTTGTTAAAAAACGTGTTCAATGGGCAGGTTGTTAAAAAACGTGTTCAGTGGAATGTTTGTTAAAGAAGGTACTCAGTGGAATGTTTGTTAAATAACGTGTTCAGTGGAATGTTTGTTAAAGAAGGTACTCAGTGGAATGTTTGTTAAATAACGTGTTCAGTGGAATGTTTGTTAAAGAAAGTACTCAGTGGAATGGTTGTAAAGGAGCTTGTTCAGTGGAATGTTTGTTAAAGAACATGTTCAATGGAATGTTTGTTAAAGAACTTGTTCAGTGGAATGTTTGTTAAAGAACGTGTTCAATGGAATGTTTGTTAAAGAACTTATTCCGCGGAGGGTTTGTTAAACAAACCATTCAGTGGAATGTTTATTAAAGAATTTGTTTAGTGGAGGGTTCGCCGAGCCCCGTTGTAGAGAATGTATTATAAAACTGATAATGCAATCGATGTGAAAAATCAATATAATAAACTTATCACAACAATCGAATAATCATGAAAAATAGTTCACGAAGCAGGCACCACGTTCGATCTTCACACATTTTTTCAATGTCTGCTTGCTCTATATACTGCTGACGAACTTTCTGTATCACTATGGGATAGGGATTTTCCGATATGGATGATTATGAATGTATTGCTGGTAATATGGCTGCAAAGTATTTGCCAAAATCACTTAATCAAATTTCTGATACAGGGTTACTTCATTGCGAGAACGTATGGGTAAGAGAGTGAGTTTAGTCTAACGGCATTTCTAACAGTACTCTAGGTATGTCATGGCGTGCCCTCTTTATATAGGCAGTGTACGAACTAAGCCAAAACAACAGCCAGACATCAGGGCTAGTAACTTCCAAATGTTACCAGTCCAAAATGGATTTAACCAGACCTGACAATCCAAAGAAAAATATCTCACGTTTTTGTTACAATGAATAATGAGCCTGAGACATGTATTTACGGTCTATTCACAACAGTCATTGTCAGAGAAATCCGTCTCCGAGTTTTATGCCGCACTCTTTAGTCTTTAGTTTCGGGCCGCACTCAGCAATATTCCAGCTAAATAATCGAGTCTGGGCCAGACAATCGAGTGATCAACAGCATTAGCATCGTTCTACACAATTGGGAGACGGTGACATGTGTCAACCAAGTCAGCGAGCCTGACCACCCGATCCCGTTAGTCGCCTCTTACGACAAGCATGGGTTACTGAAGATCAATTCTAACCCGGATTTTCACGGGTATAGTCAGAGTCGAAGGGATGGAACATGTTATCTATTTTTTAACTAGACTAGCTGGCTAGCTATAAATTTAGACTGTCCGTCAGATATCTAGCCCGTCTCGGGCGGTCGGACGGGCCTTATTTCATACACTGATGTAGGATATACATTAAACATTTCAAACGTTTTCTACGAACACCATAATGGTGCTGGCAAACCTAGTAACATAATCGAGGAGAACCTCAGTTCGAAACCACGATCAGAGCTTCCTGGCGTAACAAAGGCACGCAATTCTGTTCAGCAAAATATGACTTTAACATCAATTATCATAAGAACGACATCATATGAGCAGAGGATCATAACCCCAGTTTCTTTCGTGTCGCATTTATCAAATTTTCAGAATAAAAGTATATTCCATGTTCGTCACAGGTTCGCGTAATACAAATTATGTTCAAACTGTGAATGAATGAGTGAATGAACTGTAAAATGATGGTTACGATACGAAGCCACAGAGCTTATAACATCAATATACTTTCTGAACATTTCGCTTTCTAAGTAATGCATATTTATGCCACCTAAGATAAGACCATTATTCATGATCAATGTTTATTAGCTTTTACTTTTCAGTAAAGTGATAGTTTTGAATATGAACACTAACCAAAGAGAATCGTGGTCACTACCTCGGGACATCACCACAGGTCATCTTCACGTGAGTACACGTTAAATATTGAATATTCTTAAAATTATAATTTTAAGAAATGTCACTGCTTCCATAAAGGACGGTAGGGTAGCCTAGTGGTTAAAGCGTTCGCTTGTCACACCGAAAACCCGGGTTCGATTCTGAAAGGTATTGGCAGTTTCAGCTATACTACTAATGTCTTGAACATGATTCATGTTTAGTAATAAAACCCATTTACTTAACCGCAGGGTCAGGGTTAGAATTGATCTTCAGCAACCCATGCTTGTCGTAAGAGACGACTAACGGGATCGGGTGGTCAGACTCGCTGATTTGGTTGACACGTGTCGTCGTATCCCAATAGCGTAGATCGATGCTCATGATGTTGATCAATGGACTGTCTGGTCCAGACTCGATAATTTACAGACCGCCATCATATAGCTTGACGAGTACTGAGTGCGGCGTGAAACAAAAATAGTCATTAAAATATGACTCTTTTTTATTACACATGATCGTGACTTGTATTGCTCGCAAATTGCAATTCATTAATAGGGGAGACAAAACCCTTTCCATCATCCATAAGAAATCTTAGTCAGTTTCCGTCTATACTAGGAAATGAACATGTGTTTTTGCTGAGTGTTTAATGTCCCTAAACTCCAATTTACTTTCATGCATGTCAGATAGTGATGTTTAAAGCTATGGCCAAATCACCAACCAATTTACCTTCATGTCTGATAGTGATGCTTAAAGCTATGGCCAAAACGCCAACCAATTTACCTTCATGTCAGATAGTGATGCTTAAAGCTATGGCCAAATCACCAACCAATATACTTACATGTCTGATAGTGATGCTTAAAGCTATGGTCAAATCACCAACCAATATACTTACATGTCTGATAGTGATGCTTAAAGCTATGGCCAAAACACCAACCAATTTACCTTCATGTCAGATAGTGATGCTTAAAGCTATGGCCAAAACACCAACCAATATACCTTCATGTCTGATAGTGATGCTTAAAGCTATGGCCAAATCACCAACCGACTTACCTACAGGTCAGATAGTGATGCTTAAAGCTATGGCCAAATCACCAACCGATATACTTACATGTCTGATAGTGATGTTTAAAGCTATGGCCAAAACACCAACCAATTTACCTTCATGTCTGATAGTGATGTTTAAAGCTATGGCCAAAACACCAACCAATTTACTTACATGTCTGATAGTGATGCTTAAAGCTATGGCCAAAACACCAACCAATTTACCTTCATGTCTGATAGTGATGTTTAAAGCTATGGCCAAAACACCAACCAATTTACCTTCATGTCTGATAGTGATGTTTAAAGCTATGGCAAAAACACCAACCAATATACTTACATGTCTGATAGTGATGCTTAAAGCTATGGCCAAAACACCAACCAATTTACCTTCATGTCAGATAGTGATGCTTAAAGCTATGGCCAAAACACCAACCAATATACCTTCATGTCAGATAGTGATGCTTAAAGCTATGGCCAAAACACCAACCAATTTACCTACATGTCTGATAGTGATGCTTAAAGCTATGGGTAAATCACCAACCAATTTACCTTCATGTCAGATAGTGATGCTTAAAGCTATGGCCAAAACACCAACCAATTTACCTTCATGTCTGATAGTGATGCTTAAAGCTATGGCCAAATCACCAACCGACTTACCTACAGGTCAGATAGTGATGCTTAAAGCTATGGCCAAATCACCAACCGATATACTTACATGTCTGATAGTGATGTTTAAAGCTATGGCCAAAACACCAACCAATTTACCTTCATGTCTGATAGTGATGTTTAAAGCTATGGCCAAAACACCAACCAATTTACTTGCATGTCTGATAGTGATGCTTAAAGCTATGGCCAAAACACCAACCAATTTACCTTCATGTCTGATAGTGATGTTTAAAGCTATGGCCAAATCACCAACCAATTTACCTTCATGTCTGATAGTGATGTTTAAAGCTATGGCAAAAACACCAACCAATATACTTACATGTCTGATAGTGATGCTTAAAGCTATGGCCAAAACACCAACCAATTTACCTTCATGTCAGATAGTGATGCTTAAAGCTATGGCCAAAACACCAACCAATATACCTTCATGTCAGATAGTGATTCTTAAAGCTATGGCCAAAACACCAACCAATTTACCTACATGTCTGATAGTGATGCTTAAAGCTATGGGTAAATCACCAACCAATTTACCTTCATGTCAGATAGTGATGCTTAAAGCTATGGCCAAATCACCAACCAATATACCTTCATGTCTGATAGTGATGCTTAAAGCTATGGCCAAATCACCAACCAATATACTTACATGTCTGATAGTGATGCTTAAAGCTATGGCCAAATCACCAACCAATATACTTACATGTCTGATAGTGATGCTTAAAGCTATGGCCAAATCACCAACCAATTTACCTTCATGTCTGATAGTGATGCCTAAAGCAATTGCCAAAACGCCAACCAATTTACCTACATGTCTGATAGTGATGTTTAAAGCTATGGCCAAAACACCAACCAATTTACCTTCATGTCAGATAGTGATGCTTAAAGCTATGGCCAAAACACTGGCTAACATACTTACATGTGAGACAGTGTCCCCAAGCTCCCAAAATACGAAGAACTTGTGAAATAAAATTGAAGGTACAATGACTATAAATTTGTATTTTGAATATGTTGATTTATTTGCGTCTAGTAGCCCTTGTTATTTCCCACCATTGCGCCAGAAGATCTCGCTCAAGCTGGACCATGTTGCCTACTGTTATGTCTATGGCGCACACATTCCGCCCTAGAACATCACATAAATGCACTGTTAGGAAAGTGTCAATGGATGTTGTGGGTCTGTTAAATGTCCGTATTACTTCCTATCGGAAAAAAACTGGGGCAAAACCTGGGCTCGATGTGGTTTGACATTGTCATCAAGCATTTGAAACTTCCAGCCTATAATATGTAACGACATTTCGTAAACATGTCTTCTGTCCGTCAGTTGTCCACCATAATAACACACTCAGTTCCAAATGTGTGATCCCCCTCTAAACAATGACCCTCCCTCCTCCATACCGATCATATGCATGCATTGTTGACCTGGCCAACCAACTACCGCTACATCGCCGACAAAATGTTCTGTCATCTGAGAATCGGAGGCAAAACCTTGGTTTGTGTGTTTGCTTGACCTTCAGCCCGTGCCTGGCGATGGCGAGTTCATCATAAGCTTTGCTGCCTATGTTTTGGTCACATCATTCACAGGACGCCTTCTTTTCAGGGAGGTTGCATAGAACCGGTAGATGTTGAAAAATATCCTTGCAGATATTGTACGGAAATCTCTATTAATAACATGAAGATTTGAATCTTTTTCTCAGTGTAATTAATAAAATGAGACGGTCTTGTGTAGGTGACGGTTTAAGGCCCTGCATTTCTTTGTCTCACTGCAATCCCACCCATTTGGTCTTCACGTTTAGATAATGTCTGAGAGGCATTTTAAGCATGGACTTAGTCCAACTGAATTAGTGATTGTGGGTTCCTCTTAAGCGTCTGTGTGCACGTCTAGTCCATGCATGATGTGAGTGAGTTTGGTTTTACGCCGCTTTTAGCAATATTCCAGCAATATCACGGCGGGGAACACCAGAAATGGGCTTCACACATTGTACCCATGTAGGGAATCGAACTCGGGTCTTCGGAGTGACGAGCAAACGCTTTAACCACTAGGCTACCCTACCGTTCCTGCATGATGTGAAGTTTCGTCGCTATAAAAAAGTGTTCAGATGTAATAGCCAATTGTAACTCGTTAATTTCCTTAATTTTGGTCTGTAGAATATAAACTGACGATCAAAAGAAAGTAACGCTAACGAACGCTCAAGTTATGTTGATGTAAGCAAATAATTATATTTCATAAATGTGTTATCAATCTTGCACAATATCGAGGTGATGTCGTTTGTTTCACACAACCTGGAAAAGCAACTGTGTCCAATAGTTAGTGAACCCTGTGACTGGGGACTTGAGAGACACCATCAATACCTCGTGGGACTTCCTCTGGCAAAGACTGCATGCTCCACAACGCTTTCTCATGGATGACGTCAGATGACGTAAGCCGGTATGCGTTGCCAAGTATCATTTAAGGCCTGAAGATTAGTTGGCTGGGGACGTCTCCTCAGCTCTCTACAAAGATGATCCGATAGGTGTTCTGTGGGAGACTTGTTGTGGAGAACGTGAGGGCCATGACAAGACGGCTACATTGACGTTAATGAGAAAGTTCTGAGTGATCCTTGCTGTGTTGGGACGTGCATAGTCTTATTGCAACAGGGTCCCCCTTGGTTGTTGCTGCAAAAATGGCACTATATTTACCGTTGTGCATTCAGGTTGCCACGGATAACAACCTGTTCCGTCTTTTGGTTTTCGACACAAGTTGGAGCCAGTCTTTCGTTTCTACGGCAGTACACACGAACTCTCCCGTCTGCATGGACCATATTAAATCTACTCTCATCAGTGGACAGAATACGTTGCCGTTCTCGCCGCTGCCACCGTCGTACACCTCGGGCCCATTGTAGTCTGGCGAGGCGTTGTTGGGCGATCAGCGCCATCCCGCGTGAGGGTCGGTAGGCCCTGATACCGACATGACGCAATCGTCTCCTCAGTGTTTGTCGCCTTACCCGGTCACCCAATGCCATTGCTGCAGATTCCGTCACTGTCAGGAACCGATTGCGTAGATATCTATCTTGTCCGGGTGTTGTGACGTGTGGTCTGCCACTCCGAGGTCTGTCACACGTTCTGCCAGTCTGGTGCTACCGCTGGAACAACTTAGTGATGGTCTGACGTGAGCATCCAAAGGTTCTTTGGCGTCCCCGTCATGGCCATGCCAATGGCTCTCTCCCTCTCTTCTGCACTTAAACGTGGCATCGCTCTGATGTTTTTTTTGGTTGATGTGACAGTGTGTGACCATTTGGATTGAAATATATAGTGGTATCTGCATGGAGATTCCATGGAAAAACGAAACACGTATTTTTGGTTTTAGGGTCGCAGCACGTGCATTGACGGGTGCATGAGCTGGGTTGTTTGCAAATTGTGTTCGCATGCAGTGTTTCCATAAGTGACTAACATGTGTTATAACCCGTTTTGGGATTATTCGCAATTTTAAGGTGACAACTTTCTTTTGATCGTCAGTTTATGTGGGCCTGTAAAGGTCCTTTCCTTATGCATTTGTATTTCTATGTAATGTACAAAAAAGACGATATTTGTACAACTTTACTGGACTTCTAAATGTACAGTTCGTTGGAGACAAAACGCAAAAGGCAAAAAGCAAACCGAAGGACAGACATAAACCGACCACGAAGACGTCAAGAAAAAAGAAACCGAAAAGAGACTCGTCCAGAAGATCCAAAGATTCACGTTCCAGCAGCTATGGTGGTTCTAGCAGCTCGAGAGGGTCACGTTCCAACAGCTATGGTGGGTCTAGCAGCTCGAGAGCGTCACGTCTCAACAACTATGATCGTTCTGGCAGGTCGAGAGGGTCACGTTCCAACAGCTATGGTGGGTCTAGCAGCTCGAGAGCGTCACGTCTCAACAACTATGATCGTTCTAGCAGGTCGAGAGGGTCACGTTCCAACAGCTATGGTGGGTCTAGCAGGTCGACAGCGTCACGTCCCAACAACTATGATCGTTCTAGGTCGAGAGCGTCACGTCCCAACAACTATGATCGTTCTAGCAGTTCCAGAGCGTCAGTTCCCAGCAGCTACGATGATTATGGGTGGACCACATGGTCACGTGCCAGTAGCTCCGGTATGTTACCCACAAAAAGTGTCCATATGAAAAATCGCTTTATATGTGTCATGTGTAAATCGCAACCAGGAATATATACTGAATGCTCCCCTTTGTAGATTAGATAGTGTATATTGTTACAAGTGAACCCTTTATCCACTTCGCCATCTTGTCGCCTTAACAGATTTTGTTTTTTATAGACAATTTGACAAGTAAACGTGTATGTATATGTGTGTATGTTACTGTCTGTATTATTATATACTCATAAAAACGAATAAGGGAACACATGAAAGTGCAAGCGTTCCTTTCATTCTTTTACAGATTTCTTCACCAGGTATGTATTAATGAGTGAAATTCTGGAAATGAATAAAGGAACACTTGTACTTTCATGTGTTCCCTTATTCGTTTCTATGAGTATATATAGAAATGAAGTCGTACCATCTATTTTATTAGAATTTAATGCATTCTAAATAAATCATACAAGGGAAACTGCAGATCACGGATTTCTTTCGGATATATTATGGAAGTATGTGAATAGACATTGCCAGCCACTGACAGATTATAGGATCAGAGTAAATCCCAAAATTACGCAGTTCAAGGATGTTTACCACTTTGTGGAACTACTGACTGACTGACTGAGTTTAGTTTTACGCCGCATTTAGCAATATTCCAGCAACATCACGGCGGGGGACACCAGAAATGGGCTTCACACATTGTACCCATGTGGGGAATCGAACCCGGGTCTTCGGCGTGACGAGCCAACGCTTTAACCATTAGGCTACTCCACCGCCCCTTTGTGGAACTAACAAGCACATCCTGGTGGTGACTTGCAGTCAAGCCGAATCTGACAGACCAAACTGAAAACTACAGGATCCTGGTTCACCTTAGCGAGGCAACCTTGACAACAAACTGTGGCGTATTAGACAACCCAGACCCATTTCGATCCCTGACGATTTTACATGTATCATAAGATTCACTGGGCAAATTATGATTAAATTTGCTCCATGTTATTTTGTTTACCAGAGCACCTGTTGGTGATGGACCCGAACAACAGATTGGTGTGGAAGATAAATCTGTTAGACTTCAATCTAAAGTACGAAATACGCCTACCCGGAGACGATCTGATAAGGGACATTGAATATTCTGAGTCAGAGTGGAAATTGCTGTGGATACGTTCATTTCAGATCATAAAAACACCTCTAAAGAGACTTCGGAAGTCAGACATGTCCATAACGCCGTGGGTGAAAAGTGGTAAGGAGCATGTGGAAAAAGTATAACTTGCAGACTCCGTAAGGAGTATAAGTACGAGATATGGTATTTTACAGCATTAAAGATGAGCAATGTTTCAGCCCCTATTGAATTGCTGAAATGAAAGCTATCGGAGATAAGCAATATTTCAGCCCCTATTGAAATGCTGAAATGAAAGCTATCGGAGATGAGCAATGATTTAGCCCCTATTGCATTGCTGAAATGAAAGCTATCGGAGATGAGCAATGTTTCATCCCCTATTGAAATGCTGAAATGAAAGCTATCGGAGATGAGCAATGTTTCATCCCCTATTGAATATCTGAAATGAAAGCTATCGGAGATGAGCAATATTTCAATCCCTACTGAATTACTAAAATAAAGCTATTGAAGATGAGCAATGTTTCAGTCCCTACTGAATTACTAAACTATAGGTATTGGAGATTTGCAATGTTTCAGTCCCTATTGAATTACTAAAATTAAAGCTATCGGAGATGAGCAATGTTTCAGTCCCTACTGAATTGCTGCAATGGAAGCTATCGGAGATGAGCAATATTTCAGCCCCTATTGAATTACTAAAATAAAGCTATCGGAGATGAGCAAAGTTTCAGCCCCTACTGAATAACTAAAATGAAAGCTATCGGAGATGAGCAATGTTTCAGCCCCTATTGAATTGCTGAAATGAAAGGTATCGGAGATGAGCAATGTTTCAATCCCTACTGAATTACTAAAATAAAGCTATTGAAGATGAGCAATGTTTCAGTCCCTACTGAATTACTAAACTATAGGTATTGGAGATTTGCAATGTTTCAGTCCCTACTGAATTACTAAAATAGAGCTATTGGAGATGATCAATGTTTCAATCCCTACTGAATTACTAAAACAAAGCTATCGGAGATGAGCAATGTTTCAGTCCCTATTGAATTACTAAAATGAAAGCTATCGGAGATGAGCAATGTTTCAGTCCCTACTGAATTGCTGCAATGGAAGTTATCGGAGATGAGCAATATTTCAGCCCCTATTGAATTACTAAAATAAAGCTATCGGAGATGAGCAAAGTTTCAGCCCCTACTGAATTACTAAAATGAAAGCTATCGGAGATGAGCAATGTTTCAGCCCCTATTGAATTGCTGAAATGAAAGGTATCGGAGATGAGCAATGTTTCAATCCCTACTGAATTACTAAAATAAAGCTATTGAAGATGAGCAATGTTTCAGTCCCTACTGAATTACTAAACTATAGGTATTGGAGATTTGCAATGTTTCAGTCCCTACTGAATTACTAAAATAGAGCTATTGGAGATGATCAATGTTTCAATCCCTACTGAATTACTAAAACAAAGCTATCGGAGATGAGCAATGTTTCAGTCCCTATTGAATTACTAAAATGAAAGCTATCGGAGATGAGCAATGTTTCAGTCCCTACTGAATTGCTGCAATGGAAGTTATCGGAGATGAGCAATATTTCAGCCCCTATTGAATTACTAAAATAAAGCTATCGGAGATGAGCAAAGTTTCAGCCCCTACTGAATTACTAAAATGAAAGCTATCGGAGATGAGCAATGTTTCAGCCCCTATTGAATTGCTGAAATGAAAGGTATCGGAGATGAGCAATGTTTCAATCCCTACTGAATTACTAAAATAAAGCTATTGAAGATGAGCAATGTTTCAGTCCCTACTGAATTACTAAACTATAGGTATTGGAGATTTGCAATGTTTCAGTCCCTACTGAATTACTAAAATAGAGCTATTGGAGATGATCAATGTTTCAATCCCTACTGAATTACTAAAACAAAGCTATCGGAGATGAGCAATGTTTCAGTCCCTATTGAATTACTAAAATGAAAGCTATCGGAGATGATCAATGTTTCAGTCCCTACTGAATTGCTGCAATGGAAGTTATCGGAGATGAGCAATGTTTCAGCCCCTACTGAATTACTAAAATGAAAGCTATCGGAGATGAGCAATGTTTCAGTCCCAATTGAATTACTCATACGAAAGCTATCGGAATTGTACATATACAGTATGACCAGAAATTATTAAGAATTTTAGGAATATGTTTAATTGGATTTCTAGTATAAGACAACCTTGACCAGCTATCAAGTGTTTGGTTTCATTCTAGAAAGACATCTCCCTTAATCCTTTTTCATTAGTTTGTGAAGAGTTATCCCCCTTTGTTTACTTGCTAGCAGACGACATTTTCAGTTATCCTCAGTATGGATGATTTAGAGAAGAGGAAGTTGATTTTAGAGTATAATAACAAGGACATCAGATCAGCTAAACTGATTTCAAGTAGAACGGGCATCCCTTTGTCTACTGTTTATCGTGTTTTGCAAAATATTGAAAATGGATATGGCATTGAGCACCAGGGAGGCGCAGGTAGGTCCAGACAATTGACTGTCGGTGACAGGAGGCGGCTTGGTATTCTTGTTTCTAAAAACAAACGAAGGAGTTTAGAAAACTTAAGGCTTGATATGACTGATATAGGAACTGTGGCTGTCTGTAATTAGAACTGAGCTGAATGCAATGGGCTGGCAGAAAAGTCGAGGAATTCCTTCACCGATCATGAAACCTGAACAAAAGGAGCGAAGGTTGAACTGGTGCTTACAGCATAGAAATATTAACTGGGACAATGTGATTTTCTCAGATGAAAGTTCTGTGTGGCTGTTTCCTAATACACTGAAATTCTGGACCAAACAAACTGAAAAACCTTTGTATCAGCGCCCAAAGTACAGTCCGAAATTTAACGTGTGGGGTGGCATATCTGTGTTAGGGGCAACGCTTCTCCGTGTATTTGAAGGGGATATGAACAGTGCGAGGTACACATATATTCTCGAGGGACATTTACTTCCATCTGCTCACGTGCTCAATGGAAATGTTTGGATTTTCCAGCAGGACAACGACCCATAACATTATTCAAAGCATTCACAGGCCTGGTTTTGGACCCAAAATATGACATTATTATATTGGCCAAGCTATAGCCCTGACCTAAAATCCAAATCCAATAGAAAATGTTTGGGGACTTGCGAAGGAAAGTGTCAATAAGAAAAATCTGACAAATATTGCTGAAATGAAAGAAGAGGTGGTCCGATATTTTCTGAAATAAGCCACCAATTTCTAATGAGGGAAAAATACGTTTTTTACTCATGATAAGACATAATTATGACCATCTTCTTCTGACATCTTCGTTCAGCTTGTGCCAGCACTGTCAGAAATAATTCAGTCTATACTTTTCATTTACAACATTATTTGAGCCCCTAAAGGCTCTTTGCTTGTCGTAAGAGGTGGCTAACGGGATCAGGTGGTCAGGCTCGCTGGCTTGGTTGTAAATCGATGCTCAAGCTGTTCATCACTGGATTGTCTGGTCCGGTCTCGATTATTTACAGACCGAACATTAGCTGGGTTTAAACTTTCAGTGATTATGGCATTAATCAGAGTACGTCACACTTATCATGTGTGATACGTGTTCATTTTAATCTGGTTCCTTGATTTGCAGAGAAGCTCCTGAAAGTTAAAACTGACAACCGTCGGATATTTTTCATTACGGTCAAGAACATATACAAGGCATACATTCCATTCAATAAGAAGTCTCACGTGCAGCGCGTTACCAGAGTCCATTTGCCTACAGATGCTACACTGGACACAAAAAACGAGCAAGTATATCTGTATCTTCAATGCATGTTTAATCCAAAGTCTAAAATGTTGACGCATAGTGAAATAATTATATTTTTTAAAAACTGGCGTTATGTCATGTTTTGCTTTAGACGTGATTTTTTGCCAAATTTCGATATGTTTGTCTCGTCAAGTAGTTTGTTACATTTTGATTAGTATATGTTTATTTCAATTTTGTTTTTAAAAAAAAAGTTTTTAGAGAAAATACTTGAAGTGTGAAACAGTATGCCACCAAGGTGCTGATATACCACACCGCTGCTATAATCAACGGTTTCTTTTTCCTGTATATGAACGCCAACAAGATACGAATTTTGTGCATTCCTTAAGTTCATGGAAGGTGTACTGGAAACATGAAATAGGTTATCTGAATCTTACATTATTTCTGTCGGTTTTAAGTCAGATGTCACACTACAGAAGTCATATCTCATATTTGTAAAAATGAAGTTTCAAGGTTGAACAGTTTTTCACACAATCCCGCATTTTTTAAGTGAAAGAATTTGAGCAATTGTGAAGGGTCGTGGGGCTGTAGGTGGCTGTTAAGAAGCTGCGTACTTCTATTTCTGTGATGCTTCATCTTTGAGGTATGACTTCATGAATCATGTGTCTATCATTGAGTGAGACGCACAGTGGCTCGGAACCGTGAAGATCTGGTTTAGAATTGATCTTCAGCAACCTATGCTTGTCCTAAGAGGCGACTAAAGGCATCGGGTGTCAGGCTCGCTGACTTGGTTGACACATGTCATCGTATCCCAATTGCGTAGATCGATACTCATGATGACGATCACTGGATAAGATTTGATTATTTACAGACCGCTGCCATATAACTGGAATATTGCTGAGTGTGGATCTCAACAACACAGAAACCAAATAAAACCGTGTTACTCTATTTTGTAGGTGTGTGCTTTGGATTGAACTGAGCCGTGAACTCTACTCTGTTAACCGGGTTCCGTATTCTGGTGGCAACAGCGTAGCGGTCGCGCACTTCAAAGCTTTGACTGGTTTTACTATTGGTCCAAACGGTAAGGACGCTTGACAAACATGTGAAGGACAGCTT